GACCAGAGCACCTTCTTAGCTCCCTCCATGATGTCCTGGGCCCTGCCTCCCCTCCATCAGCCCATGCATACAGCCCACGCCTCAGTCCACCCTGGCCGGGAGAATTGGCACTGAGCTTGTTGTCCAAGGACCAAGGACAAGTTACTTAGCTTTAGTCTGCCTTCTCTGTGAAATGAAAATCATACTATCTGAGTATTATTAAATGAGATGACATGAAGATACCTTGCCCAGATCTTGGCCAATAGTTGGTCCTCTTCCTCCCCATCCTGTGCCACCCCTGCCCCAACAGGTCATCATGGAAGCCTGGGTGAAGGGCGTGAACCCCAAAGGCAACTCCACCAACCCCAGCAACTGGGACTTCGGCAGCAGTTTCTTCTTCGCAGGCACAGTCGTCACGACCATAGGTAAAGAGTTGGGGTAGAGAAGGACTTCCCCAAAGACCCATCTTAATTGGTGTTCACCCAAAGCAGATGCTGCAACCAGGTTTATCTGGGAGGAGATTCCAGAAAGCACAGGTAAGGAGGCAGGAGAAAGGAACCAATAAAGTTTGCATCAATGAGCAAGTTACTGGTTTGGGCAACTGAACTCACTCTGATGGTGACTGTCTGCAAGTCTAGCATGAGGGACGAGAGAATGGAGCTATTTATTTACCAACTCCTGCTCTCATTGTTGGGGACTGATCCTGGATGTATTAAATCACCAGAATATTGGACCTGTCCCCACAGATCAAGCACCGTTCTGGAGCCAGGTTGATCTCTTAGATAAAGAGATGCAGGACTTAGGGTACAAAGTCATCTGGGTGTTCAGGATCTGTTCACCAAAGTTGCAAGTGCTTTCCCAAGTGTCCCAATGGGACAGGACACTAGACCAAATCTGCTACACCACTCAGCCCCAAGGGAACTCCCAGACCCCTGCCAATCTCCCCCAACTCTTTCCATTAAATCCAATTCCTCACACCTCCCTTCAACATAGGTGACCTGACAGACAAAGGGTTGGGGTGGAAGTGGGGGATACAAATTGTATTAGACCCAGGCTCAGATCTCAAGGGCTTCCAATCCAATGAGGATAAGATAAGCATACTAAATGTAATAATGTAAAGTAGGGAATTAGATAGGGATAACACAAAGCACTATGGGAAATCATGCCCAGTGAGAAGAAGGAGGGTAGCAGTCAGGAAGGGCTTAATGGAAGTGTTTTGAGATGGGTTTTCAGAGATGAGCAGGGTTCTTATAACTAGAGATCTTTCTAGCAGAGTATGGTGTGTTCATGGAAACAGGGGCATGTTCCCAGTCCTCCTAGAGGTGATGGAAGACCAGCTTCTGCAAAAATTTGACTTGGGGAATAGCTCTGAACTTACTCTTGGCACATTTGCACATTCTTCCTCTTCCCACAGGATATGGGAACCTGGCGCCCAGCACGGAGGCAGGTCAGATCTTCTGTGTCTTCTACGCATTAATGGGTATCCCACTCAATGTGATCTTCCTCAACCATCTGGGCACAGGGCTACGCAACCACCTGACCACCCTCGAGAGGTGGGAGGATCAGCCCAGGCGTTCCCAGGTATGGGCCCTTTTTGCTCCTGCTGTGAGCAAATTTGCAGGTCCAGTTCTCCTGAACCAGACATTGGGGCAGATTAGGGATAAGCACCTATGGAAGAATAGGAGCAGATATGGGATTGGGGAGAGGATGAAGTTGCACTGCTCTGTGGCCAAAGACTTGGCCTATCCCACAAGGAGCTCTGCCGCACATACTCACTGGCAGACTTGTTCCACAGTGAGCTAAAACAGTGAGACCTTCATATTCTGACTAAGTCAGACACCCCTTGATTGAGGAAGGGCATGCCCTTGGGTGAGGCAGTTCTCTGCAGCTGAAGCCTGAAGGAACTGACAGCTGGCGGCACTGTGAAGGGGCATCTTGGCATGCCATCTCTATGTCCACTATAGAATGCCAACATCCTTTCCTGTGGTTGAAAGCAAGTTCTGGGCCACTCAGAATAGCCCCAGTACTACTCTCATTGGCCAATCCTTTGCAAGATTAGAGGCATGTTAGGAGGGGGTAAGGTGCAGAGGAGTCTGGGCCACTTCCATCCCAAATTGAACCTATACAAACAGAGGTGTGTCCAAATCCCTCCTTGATCCAGTAGCACAATCCCTCTACCCAAATCTTAACCTGGCTAGAATGAGAGCACAGACACATAGATACACTCTCCAATCCCCAAAAATGGGCAAAGCAGAGAAGACACCTAACTATGGCTTAGTGTACTCCTGTTTGTCCCAGGCGCCCCCCTAACTCAACCCTGGAGCCTTCCATATGAACTCAGACAGCACTCATACTCCCTCCCTCCCAGCTCCTGCAGCTCCTAGGCCTGGCTCTGTTCCTGACCTTGGGCACACTGGTCATTCTCATCTTCCCACCCATGGTCTTCAGCCATGTGGAGGGCTGGAGCTTCGGCGAGGGCTTCTACTTTGCCTTCATTACTCTCAGCACCATTGGCTTCGGGGACTATGTTGTCGGTGAGAACAAAGCAGTCCCATATCTCGGGGTGAGGGTCCATGAGGATTTGGGAGGCGGGGAGATGTGATGTCAGCTGGAGAGAACTGTTGAAGCTCAGATAAGCCCGTTGCCATTAAGTCAGTCCCGACTATTGGAGACCCCAGGTGTGTCAGAGTAGAACTGTGGTCCTCCACAGGGTTTTCAATGGCTGGTTTTTCAGAAGTAGATCACCAAGCCTAGTTACTGAGAGGAGACAGCCTGTTGCTGAGGCTCCTGTGGATTTTCAGCAACATCCTTATAAGTGTCTGGTCTGAGACTCATTGTTCACCGGAGTTATGGGGAGGAGGGAGAGCCCATCCTGGTTAGTGGGGATGGAGCTGTACCCTCAGATTCCTGGCATTTATCTCATTCCCCTTCACTGCCAGGCACAGACCCCAGCAAGCACTACATCTCGGTGTACCGGAGTCTGGCAGCCATCTGGATCCTCCTGGGCCTCGCCTGGCTTTCACTCGTCCTCCCACTGGCTCCTCTGCTTCTACACAGGTGCTCCCAGCTCTGGCTACTCACCAGAGGCCTCAATCTCAAGGAAGGGGGTGGCCCTGGGACTGATGGCCTCCCCAGACTTCAGAAGATCCCAATCTCTGCCTGAGGTCCCCTGGTGGCCACAGTGGCTTCTCCCAACTTTCCCCAACTTTCCTAACTTCTCCCAACTGCCCTCTGGATTTCCTGTTCTACCTCCTCCTCTCCAACCTTCTTACTTCTTAGGGGCTCTCTGGAGACAGGTATGCCCAAGAGCATAGCAAAGAGTCACTGGAGAGACAGGACCCAAGACAAGGGTGTGTGGAGTGTCCCAGAAACACCTCCCCTTTCATCTCAAAAGTATCCTGCAAAAGTTGAATACAGACATGGGTCTTTGATTGTGGCCAAATCTCCAATGCCAGTTCATGCTCCCCACCATGCACACACCTTTATACAGGACAGAAAACAAAGGATGATGGCTTCATTTCCGGCTCACTAATAAATGCGCAGTGTGCATTTGTCAAGTCCAATTACCAGACACTAGGGATACAACACTGAAAGTCCCTGCCTTCAGTGCACCTTTACTTAGGGGATAGGACCGGACAAGCAGAGAGGCAAACTCACCACACTGTCAGAAGGCTATGATGCAGGCATAGCCAGGGTACAGTGGGAACCTATGAGCGTTACTGTCAGTGAGGGTCCAGGAGAGGAGAGGGCTGGGCGGGAACTTTGGAACAATCTAAGTGCAAGTAAGCTACTCATCTCCAAGAGGCTCTCAGCCTGAAAAGTAAGCAAGCTGCCTCTCAAAGCTTGCCAGTTTCCCCTGCTTGGAGGTCTAGAGCTGTCCATGAACAAGGTAAAGGACCTCTTAAGTGTTCTACCTGCTTTTCTGGACATGTTCCCCCACCTCCACAGGGCATCCTTTAACCTAAACACCTTCTCTGGACTCCTGTCTTCTTAAGAACCTTTCCAATCACCCCCTGGGAAGTCAGCGAGTCAGCAGATCTCAGGAGACTTCCAGGAAATGAACCACATGGCTGCCTGGCCTCTCTTGGGAATGCTTTCTCCAGCCCTGGCCTTTCTCCCACCAGATTGCAACATCTCTGGTCAGAAGGAAGGCAGAGAGAGGGGGTTAGGCTATCTCAAGGCTCAATCTCAGCAAAGACTGGATACCTCAATCCCTGTCCTCTTCACCTGCCTCCAGCAGCAAGGCTGGTCCTCACCATAAGTCACCGGGACATTTGAACAGGATTGAGACAGGGCTGTGGAGCTATGGAGGGAGGTCCAAGGGAAGGTCCTATAGCAGTAAGAGGGATTGAGGTTACCAAGGTTACACCCAACAACTTTCCCACCTCAAAGGCAGGCCTGGAAGTTGAGAAACCCTGTGGGCTCTATACAACTGGAGAGGGAGTTAGGACCCCTCCTCAGGAGGCAGGGATGGACAAACACAGTGGTCAGAGCTCCTCTTGCTTCCATAAGCTCCCAGGCAAATAAGGATCAGCTGGGGACCCTTGAGTACACAGAAGGAAAATACCTCCTGAGTGACCCTGAGAGGACTTGGCAGGCAATCCTCGGCCAGAGTTCCAGAGTCTAAGGATGTAGACAGGGAACCTAAGACAATAAATTTGACTTCTATTTTCTCTGAGTGTGGCTTCCAGGACTCTCTTAGAGGAGATGTTGGGGGCTCTGGGCCCCTTCCCTCTCATCACTGGTTCACCCAGTAGCCCTCCCCTTCTCCCTAACCTAGGTCGGGGGTGGGGGAGTTGGGGGGGTGGGAACACTCGGCACACATTCGAGGCGGAGCCATATATCCACAGCTCAAGGCCTCTTTTGTCCCTGGGATTGGATCCCCGTATGGGGTGGGGCAGGGCCATCTTATTCCCCAGCTCCCTTCCTAGCCAGGAAAAACTGGTGCCTGCAGGTTGGCGTTTTCCAGAAAAGGGACCAGTCAGGCTCCTGGCCCACCCCTTCTACCTATGTCCTTGTCCATGGCTCCTATCTCTGGCCACCTGTCCTTTTCTACAATATATAGACCACGAGCCCGGGCAGCGCCTGAGGGCAGGGCAAGGGGCTGCCCTTGCTCCGTGCCCGGCACCTTGATCCTGCTGCTCATATACCTGGCTTACTTGGCGCTGGGCACCGGTGTGTTCTGGATGCTGGAGGGCTCCCTGGCGTGGAACTCCAGCCGCAGTTTCCAGCGCGACAAGTGGGCCTTGCTACGGAACTTCACGTGTCTGGATGGCCCGGCGCTGGACTCGATGATCCGGGTCAGGGGATGGCGGGGCTGGTTTGGGCGCGTGGCGTGAAGGGGCCCTGGGAACTTGCGGGTGCGTGGGCAGCGGCTTAGAGATCATGCGCTGGTCCCCGGACAAAGAGAAATGCCGACGTTCTTATCCAAAAGAGAAGTGAGGGGTGGGTAAACCCGGGCAGGGTCGGGGAGCGTGCTATCCCCGCCAGGAACGAGAAAATTGGGTTGGCCCGCTACGGGAAGGATCCCGGTTTTAGGGAGAGGAAGGCGAGGCGGCGCGGTGACCTGAGTCCACCTTTAGGGGGTGAGAGGGCATGATTGATCCTATCAGGGAAAGATGCTTAGAGTAAACATCCGAATTTGGGGACAAGGACCACAGAGACTGCGCTTACCAGGGTCAGAAACTAGCAGAGTCGACCGGACTAGGCCGGAATCAAAGCCGAGCGCGCTTGGCGGGTATGGGAAGTGGGGCACCGTGCGCTAGGCGGACAGAGACGCTCAACGCTGTGTTAGGATCTGACCGCGTAGAAAAGGCAGAAGGGCACACCCGGTTGCTTCCAGAGAGAGATCCCGGGTGCAGACATACGAATTGAGGGTGATGACAGCTGGGTCACAGGCCAGAGTCCGAGAATGAGCAAGAACGAGGACTTGACCGTCGACTTTGAGGCAAAGAAGCTCAGATGCTCTGGTCCCAGCCGGTGGTGGAAGCCGGTGATGGAACGCTTGCCTTGATCCGCACAACAAAGGGAGAGCAGATCAGGGTTAGAGGGAAGGAGGCCCAAAGCAGGGGCGCCCTGCAGCTAAAACCGGGTATCAGCGGCTGGACACGCCCCTCCAGCCGCGGATGCTAGGAAGAACTGACAGGCGAAGGCACGCAGAGGCCACTGAGCGCTGAGACTCCTCAGAGGGTGGAGCCATGGTGGCAGCAGGGCTGTGGGAAGGTTGACAGGGGTGGTGCTTCAGGGCAGGGTATTCTGGATGGATGTAGAGGATGAATGGAGTTCTCTGGACAAGCGTCTCTTAGATGTGGTGGATGAGTTTGCATCCAGGGTCTAGTTTGGTCCCCATACTCCTTCCCCTGGGAGAGAGGACCTGGGGCTCCTGGAAAGCTGTGCCCCTAGTCCGGAATCCCAGCTCTGTAGTGCACATGCAGAAGCACCCAGGAGGCCACATAGCCTGCGTCCCTGAGACCCTCACGCACATCACTGCAAAAGCCAGTCTATGAAGGTGGCAGGGAAATGAGTCCAGTGGAAAAGGATTGGGCGAATGGAGGTGAAGTCCTGAGCCCTTGGACAGAGCTGATTCCACAGGGTCTGGTTCCACAGTGGAACTGGACAGTGCAAAGGCTATTTTGACTAGGAATTTAATATGAGGTCAGGCGACCTATTAGCGCAGTGGTTGAAGCATTCTGCTGCTAACCATGGGAGAAAGATGTGACCATCTGCTTCGGTAAAGACTTACAGCTTTGAAAATCCTATGGGGCAGTTCTAGTTTACCAAGAAGCAGTTCATATCGCTTTCTGCTTCTGTAAAGATTTATAGCCTTGGAAACCCTAAACAGGGTCAGTATGAGTTGGAACCGGCTCAGTGGCATACAACCACCACCACCAGCTCTACTCTGTCCTATATGGTGGCTATGAGTTGACAATATAACTTGACCTCAATAGGTTTGGGTTTTACTTTTGGAATAGGGGCACTTCCCATTTCCACTCCCCCACCCCAACTTTGGGGTATAATGGATAGCCCAACTATTTGGCCCTGGTGCTGAGGTCATTTGACATTTCCCTTGCAAAGTCAGTGAACTGCCAATGTAACAGTCTAGGCCCAGGAAGATGACAATATGGTGATAATAATGGTAAATGTTCCTATGTAGAAAGCATGTACGATGTGCCAAACACTGTTCTTAGTGCATTACATGTATTAACGCCTTTCAATCTGATACAAGCGGTATAAGGTGTTATCATCCCATTTTAGCGATGAAGAAATTGAGGCTCAGAGAAGTTGGGTGCATGGTGATACAACCACAGAACTGAGCTGTTCACCACTCAGACTTGCTGCTTCAGTGTAGACTGGTAACCTGTGTGTTTCCCATGCTTTCCAGCTAGAATCTTATCTCTAATACATCCCCTCCCTCTGGGCTTTCTTAACCTTCCTGTGGTTGCAATATCCCCACCAAGAAAGATGTGATAGCGCCCAGCCCAGATCTCTCCCGTTAAACATGTACATGCAACGTCCTAAACCCTGTGATGATCAATTTGGACTCATGACGACCCTGGTTAAAGAGTAGAGCTGTGCTGCGTACATCTCCTGGACTGTGACCTTTATGGACACAGGTCACCAGGGCTTCCCTCTACGGCACTGCTAAATGGTTTAGAACCACCAACCTTTCAGCTGGTAGCTAAGTACAAACCGTTTGTTCCACCCAGGGAGACATATCTACAACTTCCTAACCTGAACCAAAGCAAACTCACTGCTGACTCACAGCAATCTGATAGGACAGAGTAGAACTGCTGCATAGGGTTTCTGAGGCTCTAAGTCTTTATAGAAGCAGGTGGCCTCATCTTTCTCCCACAAAAAGGCACCGCTGACCGTTTTTGTCAGCAGTCCAACACTTACCCACTGTACCACCAGGCTTTCTTTGCAACTTCCTGTTGTTGTTATGTGCCACTGAGTCAGTTCAGACTCCTAGGGTTTCCGAGGAGCAACTGGTGGATTTGAACTGCTAGGGACCCCCAAACTCCCCAAGACCAATAGCAAAACACCTTCCTCCTCCCAGCTCTGCTCTTCCTTCTGTTCTAAACCTCTGCTGTTGACCTCACTACCCACACATGCTTCTTTGGTTGCCCAAGCAATGGAGTCAGAAGCCTGGACTTCTGAATACATCCTGTCTGCTCTTCCTGGACCACTCCATGCCAAATGCAGCCCAGACCCTCTCCATCACTCAATCTTCCAGTCTGCCATCTGTCCTCTACTCTGTCAGCTGCTACAGAGCATCCCAATCTGATTTTGCATCCCCTTTGCTCAGTGACCTTGAATGAGACTTATTACTCCCTACCTGGCATAGCAGAGCCAAGTAAGACCTCTCAGTCATCCAATTCTAGATTCCAGGCACAGTTCTGCCTCCTAGCTTTGGCTCAGGCTACCTCAATGTCCTCTCTCCAGGAGCAATCCTATCCAGCCTGCAAAGAAACACCACCTCCCACATGCAAACTGCAATGCCTCCCTCCATTAAAACGAACACCATTTTTCTCTGCATTTCTAATGAAGATGATGGTGATGAAAGCTGTTCTAAGTCTTTGCATATAATACCTCACTTACCTTGTACTGGGGTCCAGTACAAGGTTCAGCATACAATGGATGCTCAACAAATGTTACCATGTTAATGAATTCAGTAATTGACCTCCACCAGGTCTATGGAGTGGATACTTTGAACATTCTCATCTTACAGAGAAGTTGAATCACTTGCCCAGAATCATGAGGTTGCGCTGTATCCTTACAGTCATGTGCAACATTGACCAAACTGTAGTCGGATTCATTAAGTTCTTCTCTGTCTCCAGAATATCTAAGGTCATGATCATCTTTTATCATTGGGTCCTCTAAAAGCACTACACGTCACACGTAGCCCATGCTTGTTGCAAGAATTGGGGGGTGGGGAGGCAGATGAATGAATGAGTGAGTGAGTGAGTGAGTGAGTGAGTGAGTGAGTGAGTGAGGGAGAAAATGAATGATGGTTCTGCCAGTCAAAGAAAAATCAGAGCTGTCATTCATAACCTGGACTCTGGCCTGAAGGTACGTTGTTATTAAGTGCCGTTGAGTTGGTTCTGACTCATAGCAATTCTATATAGTGTTTTTGAGAAGCCACTGGTGGGTGTGAACCATCGACCTTGAGGTTACCAGTCCAGTGATCATCCCACAGTGCCACACCAGAATATGAAGAGATAGGAAGATGTTCTTCCCATTGTCCTGGGTACTGGGGAACCCCTAATTAGAGGGGAGAGATGCCTTGCCTTGGCCAGACTGGGATTGAAGAGTGTTTGTAAGGATTACCCTCCAGGGTACCTGCGCACATGTGTGTGTGTGTTTGGGGGGTGTAGTCACTCCACAGCCTGGTATTCACTGTCACCTCTCCCCTAGGGCATCGTTCAAGCATACAAAAGTGGGTCTCTTGTCCTCGGCAACACCACCAGCATGGAGCGCTGGGAGCTTGTAGGCTCCTTTTTCTTTTCTGTGTCTACCATCACCACCATAGGTAAGAGTTGGGCCCAGCTGGGTGGGGGTGGGCAGCTCTCCTTGTGGGGCAGCAGGGCTGGTTGTCTTCTCTCAGACCTCACACTTATGCATCTGACTATGATCCCCAGGAAGTTCCTGTAAAACCTCCGAGTTTAGGAAATGCAGCTCTAGGAAGTTTCTGCTTCCCACAGCCTTTCAAGAGGTAGAAGTTCTCCCAAGAGGCAGTGAAGACAGTAAAGATGCTCCTGGGCAGTGAAGTGTTCGGATCTTCTCAGTCAGGCCCATCCAAAAGTTGTGGGTGTGGGGGAGGTGGCGCGGGAAGAGAAGGTTCCCTCTCATTCCCATCACCATCTGCCTCAGGCTCCCTGCCTACCTCAGATGAGGGACACCTGCTCCAGGTCTACCTCCCATTTCTCTTTAGCCCTGTCCTGTGGGAGAACTGAGGTGGAACTTGTCCTAGGAGAACACCTAGGATGCTTTGTGAATGGTGGGACAAGACCAATCTAGAGCGCCCCAATTCTGAAACCCTTGAAATATGCTGATGGGGCCATTTCCACTGCTGGTTCCAGGCAGTTCTTGCATGACATTGGAATTACCACCAGGTGGCAGACTGACACCATGGTAACTCAGGGCTACCTCCTCCCAGCTCTAGACCAGCCACAATCCTCTCCACATGAAATCAGTATCTTAACCACTACCCTCTGGGAACACAGTGGTTCTGAGTTGAGCTGCTAATCTCAAGTGTCAGCAGTATGAAACTACCAGCTGTTCCGTGGTAGAAATATGAGGCTTTCTGTTCCTGTAACCAACTCCACCCTCCCCAAAGTTGGGTGAAACAAGAGTACCCAGACAATTCTTCACCTAGTTTTAAGTCTACCAATACTTCTTGGAAGCTACTCTCAAGGTCCTAAGGGAGTCCTCTGCCTTCAGGCTCAGGACTGTGACAATTAATTTTGATTAACTTTACATCCTGGGGTCCAGTACAAGGTTCAGCATACAATAGACGCTCAACTAATGCTACTAAGTTAATGAATTCAGTAATTATGCATTCAACTAGAAAAAGGTTATGGGCCTGAAAGCAGAGTCCCATCTGGTCAGGCCTCCCAGAGGTGTGACAATGGAGGTCCTTTAGACTCTGCACCCCATACCTCCTCCAATGTCTACCTCAGGCCTTGACCTCGACCCATCAAATTCCGTTTTCTCACCTCTCTTTTTCCATGTCCACCATTCCTGTCCTGGACTATCTCCTGTCTCTACCTCTCCACTCAGTTCTGCCCTTAAGCTGTGTGCGCCAGGTCTGAGAGTAAGGCTGGCAGAGAAAAAGGGACCCAAATGATCACAGACACACACTAGACATCGGGCTGGGCACTTTGACACTTGAGAGTTCATCCTTACAGTAGCCTCCATTCATGGATGAGGAAATGGAGGTGTTTAAAGCAGCAGTGTTGGGATTGAAGGCTGGATAGATGAGTGACCTGCCCTTGGAGAGTTCACAAGAGAAAATGGGAATTTTAAACAACTGGAAGCCTGCTAACCACTGTTGGGTCAAGCACTGGGACTAACCACAAGGTTGGAGGTTCAAACCCACCAGCCACTCCTTGGAAATCCTATATAGATAAGGTTGCGATGAGTTGGAGTCAATTTGACAGCCCTTAACAATGACAACATAGGGTGCAGTCCTGGTGTGACACTGTAGGATAAGCACTGGGCTGCTAACCACAAGGTCAGTGGTTCAAACCCACCAGCTGCTCCTTAGAAACCCTGTACAGGGACACTATGAGTCGGAACCAACTCGATAGCACTTAACAACAACAACAACTAGGGTGAGCAATAAGAAAGCTCATGATGTGATTCTGACCACACACACATAAGTGGGGGAGAACTACAGAAAGAGTAGAAGGGGTGATGAAATAGGAGATGAGGCATGTGTGGCACATTCCAGGAGGAAAGGGAGAGACATTCCAAGAAGCGCAGAGATAGACTGTCTCCTTGGCGCTCCTGTTACCCGGGACCAGCACCCTATAAGGACTGGTTTTCCAAGCCTCAAAACAAACCACAAGACTTCTAAAACAGCAGGGCAGACTTGATCCCAGAAATCATTCATTATCTATTACCTCTTGCCCCAGGTTTGTTCACTTGGTCACTCATCTACCCATGCACCCATTCCACAAATACACTGTGTACCTACTCGGCCAGACTCTGTTCTACATGTTAGGGTTACCACAGTGAGCAAAAGTGACCACGTTTCTGCCCTCAAGAAGCTGATATTCTAGTGCAAGGGAACACACACACACAAAAAATTTTTTTTTAATTTAAACAGGTACATAGACAATACTCTGTGGTGGTTGGTGCTTGTTAAGTGCTGTGGAGTCAGTTCCAACTCATAACGACCCTGTATAGGTTTTCCAAGGAGTGGCTGATGGGTTTGAACTGCCTACCTTTTGACTGGCAGTCCAGTGGTGACCCTACAGGTTTCAGAACCCAGAGGAGGTGGGCTTCTCCCTGGACACCAGAGGGGAATTGCCCCCTGCAGGAAGGGTAGGTGTGAGGATGACGTGAGACAAATGAAGTGCCTGGTATGCATGTGGACAGACAGACTCAGTAGATGTTAGCTGCCCACATCTGGAGTGGGCCAGGAATGAAGATGCCTGGTGCCGAGGGATGGGACTGGGCAGAGTTGGTCTGGAAAGGATTCCTAAAGTGCCCTGTCTCTCCTCAGGCTATGGCAATCTGAGTCCCCACACGCTGGCCGCCCGACTCTTCTGCATCTTCTTTGCTCTGGTGGGGATTCCGCTCAACCTCGTGGTCCTCAACCGCTTGGGCCACCTCATGCTTCGGGGAATGCACCGCTGTGCCCATAGGCTCGGGGGCACCTTACAGGTGAGGGGGTTTTGTAGTGAGAGGAGAGGTCACTTCTAGAATGAGGGGTTGTGGAAGGGTAGGAGTCCTGGTGGAAATCAGGGCCACTGGTGGAATTGTGATACAACTGGGAACTCACTATCCAGAATGGACTAGTGCACTGTGGGCTAATATGTCAGACTGAAAAGTCGTTTGAACTGCAAGATTGGTGGTTCAAGCTCACCAGCTGCTTCTCAGAAACCCTATATAGCGTTGCTATGGGTGGGAATCGATTCAACCACACTTAGCAACAACAATGGTGGAGCTGGGCAGGATGGGGCAGACAGGAGGGTCACCAGGAAGCAATGACACAGGGCTTGGCTTGTGCCTTAGTTTCCTAGTGCTGCTGTAAGAAAAATGTGACAAGTGGATGGTTTTAAGGAACAAAAATTGGTGTTCTAGCAGCTTACAAGGCTAGAAGCCTGAATTGCTGGCCCTGACTCTTTAGGGAGGCACTCTATCTGTGGGCTCTGGGGGAAGACCCCTGTCTCCCTCAGCTTCCGTAAGTGCAGCATTCCTCAGTGTCTTGGTGCTCCTGGCACGGTATTTATACTCCTCCTGTTTGGTTTTTCTTCTGTGCCTGGGCTGCTGCTTTTATACCTCAGAACAATGAATGTTTCCAAGATGTGGTTTCACTAACAACAAAGAAGCCCTATTCACAAACAGAACCCTGTCCCCTGACATTGTTGTTGTTGTGACGTGCCACTGAGCTGGTTCTAATTGTGTATAAACGGTCTGAGGAGCAGCTGGTGCACTTGAATCACTGAGGTGCCAACCTTGTGATTCCAACACAATCCAGTCCATAACATCCTGGAATCTGGATAACACAAACTTGGTGAAGGAGACCTTGGAGGGCAGCCCCTTCCTTACTAGGGAAAGTGGTCCCAGCTAAGTACCCTCCAGGTTCTGTTGGCCCAAACATGGGCTGGTGTCATGACTTGCCTGCACCCACAGGACCCAACCAAGGCCCGCTGTCTGGCAGGCTGTGGCGCCTTCCTCTCCGGCCTCCTGCTTTTCCTGCTGCTTCCCCCACTGCTCTTCTCCCACATGGAAGGCTGGAACTACATGGAGGGCTTCTACTTCGCCTTCATCACCCTCAGCACTGTGGGCTTCGGAGACTACATGATTGGTGAGGAGCCCCCAGTGGGCAGGGTGGGATGCCCCTAGGTTCAGCTGCTTCATCCTCCATTAGCCAGTGTTCACTGGGTACCAGCTGCATGCCAACTGTGGAGAGCTTGGAGCCCAAGGTCTGACCTGCCTTCTGCTGAGTGTGATGGGGCTCAGGTCACCAGAAAAGAACCAAGGGATTTGAGCCCAGCTGTCCTTGCTGACAGACATTGTATGGTTCTCGTAGCCCCACAAGCCTGACTATCATTCTCAGAGCTCACCAGATAAGGACACATGCCCAGCGCCCATCCTTGTCCCACTCCCCACACCCTACACTGTACCTGGTTCAATGAGGACCAGCTTTTCCACTGTTCCCAGGCTGAGCCCACATCTTCACTTCACAGCCCATGGAAATTCATGGGAGAGTACAGGTGATTCATGCAGCCCCGGCCCTATCTTGGTAAACAGTTTGCCGTCAAACTCTGAATACCAGTAAGAAAGGGCTGTGTGGTCCAGAGGGCTCGACATGGAGTTGAGTCAATGGTCAGCACACAATGTGGAAAAGAATAGGACCCAGGAGTCAGTGGTGGCTTTACAGAAGAAAATCTGTTGCTCTCTGTTCCCTCATCCTCTCCACCAAAACAAAGCAAACCCTTTGCCACAGAGTCAGTTCGACTCATGGCGACTGACCCCACGTGTTAGAGAGTGGAACTGACCTAGAGGAGCCCTGGTGGCACAGTGGTTGAGTGCTCAGCTGCTAGCTGAAAGGTCAGCAGTTTGAATATACCAATAGCTTCAAAGGAGAAAGATGTGGCAGTGTTTCCTCAAGGCCTGGCCTCTGCCTTACTCTGGCAGCATTACAAAGCTCTTTAGTGCTGCCAGCAAATGCCCAAAGGGCACTCCACTCTACTATAAGCCTTAGCCTCGAGGTGTTTTGTTCTGGTGTTTGGTTATGTGCCGTGGAGTCAGTTCTGACTCATAGTGACCCTGTACAGGGTTTCTGAGGCTGCGAATTTTTACAGGAGCAGAAAGCCTCATCTTTCTTCTGCAAAACAGCTGGTAGTTTCGAACTGCTGACCTTGAGGTTCGCAGCCCAATTCGTAACCACTATGCTACCAAAGCTCCTTGTGCATTTTGCTCTAGCTCCATGGAAATCCTATGGGGCAGTTCTAGTCTGCCATCCAAGGTTGCTATGAGTCAGAATGGTCTCAACAGCAATGGATTTGGCTTTTTGAAATCTTTACAGAAGCAGACCACCCAGCCTTTCTCCCATGGAGCCACTGAGTGGGTTCAAACCACCAAGCTTTCTGAAGCCACATTATTGTTGTTGTTAAGTGTAATCAAGTTGGTTCCAACTCATATGGGCCCTGTATAGGCTTTCCAAGGCTGGAAATCTTTGGTTACCAACCATTGCAAACCATCAGCCTCAAACCCTCACTCCCCTCCCCTAATAAAACTAAGGACAGATGCCCAGTAGATACGCACTGTGAGAACCAGCCTGCCATCTTCCCTTCCCCTCTCTGAAGCTTCACCTATTATCACCATATCAGCCATATGGCATTCCCACCATGGTGGCCTCCAGAGGCCTTGTGCGGTCCCTCTGATTCCATGGCCCTAAAGTAGAGAAGATATTTTGCCTATCACTCTTTCAACAACAGAACCCAGCCTGGGATACTGAAAGGAGGTTTTACCAAAGGTTCAATGAAGATAAAGGAAAGGGAAATCAGAGAGCAATGAATGACTAACTCATCAGGCAGATGACTAGCCTTCACCCACGTTTTACTGAAGAAGAAGCTGCAAGGGGTCAAGCCACTTGCCTGAGATACATGGCAAGTGAGATAAGAATTCCTATCTATTTGGTTCCAAAACTCACATTATTTTCAAACCATCTTCCACTCCAGCATCCATGTAAGTAAAATGTGGGGATTGCTAAGTGATCTCTAAGATGCCCCTGAGTGTCCACTCTACATGTAGGGTCCCCTTCCCTGGTCTTCAGTTCTCCCACATGGGGGACTTCATGCTGCTACTTTCAGATCTCCCCATCCTGTTGTTCTAGAAAGGACTTGGTCATGTTCCCATCTCTACTCTCAGAGTGGAGACCTGAGCCCAGAAGTCCCCAGTGTCCTATTCACTCCTCACAGTTCAGAGAATGATTCTTGGACGTGTTTTCTCCTCTCTGTACCCACAGCTGTTTTCCTAGCCCAGGCTGGGCGTTTGCGTACTACTGTACAGGTTGAGCACTGCACAAGCCTAGAAGGTGCCATTCAGACAAACCACAACTGTGAAAGATTCCACTTGCAGTTGTGTGGGCTCTATCTTTGTCCTTGCCACTTAAAACCTTGAAACATTACAAGTTCCATCATGCCACCTGCTCACCCCTTCTGAAAACCTTCAGTGTTTTTCCATAGCTCAGGGTGGAGTTCAAAATCCATAACTAGGCCTGCGAGGGCCCCCTCTGTGACCTAGTCTCTGCTTCCCTCTTCACTCAGGGATTCCTGTTGTGATGTTGTAGGATATGCACTGGACTGTTAACCACAAGGTTTGTGATTCAAACCTACCAGCCATTCCTTGGAAATCTAATGCAGAGTGGCTGAGTCGAAGCCAACTCACCATCACTTAACACAAACAACTATTGTCATTGGGTACCATTGAGTTGATTCCTGCACATAGTGACTCCATGTGAGAGTTGAACTTCTCCCTAGGATTTCCTAGACTGTCATCTTTATAGAAGTGCATCTACAGGGCTTTCTCCTGAAGAGTCACTGACTGAATGCGTTCAAACCAATCACCTTTTAGTTAGCAGCTGAACACTCACCTGTTGTTCCACCACATTCTTCATGCTACAGTCTACCTAACTGCCATCAAGTCCATTCCAACTTGTCATGGCCCTATATGGGGTTTCCCAGACTGTAGGGCTTTATGGGAGCAGATAGCCTCAGGTTTTTTCTATGGAGCAACTGGTGGGTTTGAACCACCCACCTTCCACACCTAACTCACAGCGTCACCAGGGCTCCTTGAAATGCAGATGAGATTGGCCATAGTAGCTGGGACCCCGCAGCAGTTGCCTGCTCACCCCACCCTTGCCTGTGTCCTGAGGCTGAAATTTAGAACTTACCCCTGGGTCACCATCAGAAAGGCCTGGTTCTCTGGGAACACTCAGTGCAAAGAGAGGGGGAAAGAAATTGTGGTAGGACCCCCATCTAGGGGCTCTGAATACCCACCCTTTTCCAGGGTTCTCAAAATTTGGTCCTGGATGAGGAAGAGCTAACAGACTCACACTCACTTCACCACCCTAAAAATTGGCTCAGGGAAGCCCAGATGGGTGGGGTTAATGGAAGACTCTTTGAGGGTATCCTGGGGCCCCCACAGTTCCTTGCCCAGGGCAGGATGAGCGGGAGGTGGAAGCCGACTCCTCTGGGCATGTGCGGTCTGGAAATAGTTGCAATGAGACCCACGCCAGCCTCTCTAGAAGCCAGGAGGGCTGATCATGGTCCCTGCCACCCTGTTGGCCAGCCAGCCTTAGGGAAGCAGCAAGACAGGAGCCCAACTTCCCAGAGCCCTCATCTACCAAACACCCAGATAGAGGAAGTCTGGTCCAAATCCCATGGGAACCCTTTAAGTCCAGAGGGAACCATTCCAGCCCACCGTCACTGGACAGAGCTGCCCTTTACACCACATCTCCAGGGATTTGCTCCCAAATCTGGCCCCCTCTTCAGCCACTACAGGCTTTCATGGCAAGTGACACGGGAAAGTCCTCAAATGCTCCCATAGCAAGGGTTCTTTCTTAAACAGATGGGGATGCTGAGGTCCAGAGAGGAAAAGGGAGTTGACCAAGGTCATAGAGAGACAAGTCAAGGGCAGACCTAAGACAGACTCCCAAGCCAGGGAGTCTAGAACACCTGTTCTAGAATCTTTTGCAAGATGAGAAGGGACAGACCCCCATGTCTTTCAACTTTGCTTGTCTCCAGGAACAGGGGCATCCTGAGGTTCACCACCTGGATGCTGGGTGTCTATTGCCCCATGTCAACAGCCACAGGGGTGGTCTTTATAATCCATTCTTTGCCTGAAGTCTGTGGCCGGAGTAGCCCCCAGATCCCAGCTGCCTGATCCTCCCAGCCCCCCATAACTCTTGCTTTTCCCAATTGCATTTGCTGCTTGGTTGAGCGCCTTGCCAGCTGCTAGGTCTCCTGCCACTTATGATTTTGGCTAAAAAAAATGAAATAAAAGTAGAGCAGAATGCCACCCCGCCCCTCTGTCACCAGAAGCAAGTCAAGCTGGTGTGTGGCAGGGGCTGAGAGAGCTGGCTCACCGCTGATCTCATTTGGGACTGCCAGCGGAATCATGGCCCCATAATACAATCAGCCTAATCCAATCACAGTCCTGCAGGCAGCTGACCTCGGCTCCAAAGCTGTGGGTCATCCTTGAGCTAGGGTCTGAAAGACAGGCCTTGTGAGCTGAGCAGGATAGCTGTGTTGGGGCCAGAAGAACAGGATGGGGTGGACAGAGAATTAAGACAGGAGCAAGACACTGGAGTGAAAGGTATGTAAATTGAAGCTTGAGATGTTGGTAGGATTTGGGACTTCATCCTAACAGCCAAGAGGGGAGAGATTATTTCCCCCATTTCCCAGGTGAGCAGAGTTCTGGCAGCTGAAGGTCACACAGCTAGTAAAAACAGGCAGGTACAAACTCTGACAGTTCTCCCATGGTTCCTATAGCCCCTGGCTCCAGCAAACTGCCTCCCTTCAGACTGGCAGAAACCAAACCAGAGACCAGTGAATGATAGAGTAAACTGTACTTTCTCTAGGAGGGTGTGTTAAAGAGACTGTTAGGCCTAATCCAGAGTTTCTGATTCAGTGGATCTGAGTGGGGCCCAAGTTGTGCATTTCTAGCAAGCTCCAAATGAAGCTGGTACTGCTGGTCAGAGACCACACCTGGAGAACCAGTGGGATAGAGTACAGAGTCCATCAAAAGGACAATGAGGAAATTTAACTTCCAAACCTAAGGTACCAATCCAGCGAAGCTCCCTGGGATACTAGGCAGGTGACCACGAGGCCAAAAATCTCAGTCCATGTATTCTGTCCATGGGCCCCTCAGTTGACTCATACACATCAAGCCCTGTGCTCCATATCTGTTTAGAGAAAGTGATCCTTACTTCTCCAGGCCTCTATCCTCTGACCTTGCTTCTCACCCAGGGATGAACCCTGACCAGACGTATCCAGTGTGGTACAGGAACATGGTGTCCCTGTGGATCCTCTTTGGGATGGCGTGGCTGGCCTTGATCATCCAACTAATTCTCTCCCTGATGGAGACACCAGGGAAGGCGTGTTCCTGCTACTACGAGGGGTCTGAGGAGGATCTCAAGCCCTCAAGCTGGAGGCAAGGTCCAGATGGGGAGCCAGATCCCCACACCCCACCACCACCAGGCTGCCATGAAGAGGAGCCTGCAGAAATCATCCAGCATCCAGAACCCTCTGTTCAGGTTCTGCGCTGTGGCAAGGACACCTAGTTATACCCCAATATCTGTTCCTTCTTCTTCCTTATGGCCACCGCACTAGAGACTGCATTTTCCATCCTCCCTTCAAGCTAGATGTAGCTATATCATTAGATGCTGTCCAATAGGATAATATATAAGGACAGTCTCAGAAACTCAAAACAGCAGTTCTACCCTGTCCTATAGGGTCACTATGAGTCAGAATCGACTCAATGGCAGTGGGAGTTCGAATCTGTGTGACTTCTGGAATGTGACTTTTAAGGTGTTTGAGGGCTTTCCTTCCCACATTCTCCATCCAGCTGACTGCAATGCTGTTACAATGGCTGGAGCTCTGGCAGCCATATTACACCATGAGATAAAGGTCATGTGAGAAATAGGTGGCACATAAGATAGAAAAAGCCTGGAAGCTGACTGATCACAGAGCCACCATAACAAACGTGATATCACCAGACCTTATTTAGGTGAGAGAGAAATAAACAGAAGTCTTATTTAAAATATTATTGCTTGAGTTATTCTGTTAATCACAACCAAATATAATTCTAATTGACACACACAAGCAGAGACAGCATCTCTGAGCCTGGGCATATCTGGGGAGCAAGCACTCCCTCCCAGGTTGGCTTGACGAGGACTGATGGAGGAAATGGAGTGAAGGCTGGTATGCCGATCCCTACACCCTTCCAGGTAAAGTTATGAAAGAGTTGTTGCAGCCAGTGGGCAGCTAGTCCCAATTCAGGTGCCAAATTCTTGTTTTACTGTTTCCATACAGAAGAGCAAGGTGTAGACCAGTTGGATCCAACCTTTGGCCTCACCCTTTTGTGCCTTTTAAGGTTGTAACCATGGTTTAGAGGTCGGCTGGCAGAGCATCTCACCTGAGCATACATCCTCTTCTCATTCAGGTTGCTGCTAAGGCAGCACATGATGGTGTGATTCTCACACACAGAGCATACTCAGGTCTCCAAACCCAGCCAGGATCCCCTGGAAGTTACCCGCCAGCACCCAAAGGTCACCTGGTCTCTGCAGGCACCTGTGATACTGTACGCTCCCATGATCTTATAGACAACATCACAGGAACCCTCCCTGTGGACAAAGCCCTCTTGGAACTAGGTCAGGGGAAGCCTTTGTCCTACGAAGAGCAAGGGCTATTTCACCATCAGCTTACGACATTTGGCCTTAAGGGGACCAAAGCCAGAGCTGGGAACAAGCACCAGAGAGTAAACAACAGTATCAATGCCCGTTTCCTGATGCCCACAGGCTGGGCTGGGGAGATGGGGGGTAGGGAGGAGAAGGTTACTGAAGGTTCTTTGTCCTTAGCGCACTCCAGAAAGATAATCTCGCAGTTAGGTGTGGGACAGGCTTGACTAGAGTCTTCTGAGCTGGTGGTATGGCTCCAACTCTATTGTGTCTGAGGCCCCTTTCCCCTCCTTTCTGCCCATACTGGACTCCATCTCTCTCTCTCCCACTATGTCCTTCACCTCCAGGCCTACCCCTACCCCATGCTCACAAATACTTGCTCCAGAGGAGACCAACCTTTGGTGCCCTCTAGGGGTGTGACCCAGAGGAAAGATTCTGATTGGCCAGGCCCTCACTTGCTCTTCTCCACAGCCAACAAGAAAAGGCTTAGGATCTCTGCAGTCTCAATCCAGGAAGGGGCAAGGGCAGAGTGATGGAGAGGTAGGCTAATGGGGTGAGGGGGTTGGAGTGGGAATAAGAACACTCTGGGAGCCACCTGGAGAGATCCAGATTCAGAAGTCACAAGAACAGACCTCAGAAATTACCAAATAGAATGAACAGTGAAGTCTTCATCTCAGAGACTGGAGGGAAGAGGGTTCTTTGAGAAGAAAGCAGGAATGATGATCATATGACAGGGCAAGCTAGGAATGTGAACAGGAACTAAGTTATTCATTCATTTACTGACCTGGGCCAAATCACTGAAGATGGGGGAAGGAGAGCCCTTTGAGAAGTTAGGTGTAGTGGTTAAGGGTGTGGGGGTTTAAAAACTGCCTGGGTTGAAATCCTGGCTCCACCATTTACCAGCTATGTGACCCTGGACAAATCACATGTCCGCTCCATGCCTCAGTTTCCTCCTCTGTAAAATGGAGCCATGACCTATACCAACCTTCCAGGATGGAATGAGTGACTGATTGTGTGCACAGTGCTGAGAAGAGGTTCCACCGTGTGCGTTTCCTGTTCCCCAGCCAGGCCCACCCATGGACAAGAGCGGGAGGCAGACGCTCTGCAGGCCGGCAACCACGTGGCAGGCAACAGTGCCTCTGCTGAACCCCTCTTGGGGCTGGGCTGAGCATGCAGTGACGAAGGACTGAGCCCTGCCCTTGGGGGGCTCCCAGGCTGATACCATCGAGATGAGGGCCAGATGAAGGATCTGGACATCCATGAGTCAGAAAGGAAGAAGTGCGTGCCAAGTGTGCAAAGGCAGGGCTATGGGGCAGTCCATGGCTGTTCCCAGGATGCTGAAGGGCAGGTCAGCTTCCAACACCAGTGGCTGTTTCTGCTTTCCCTCCCTAGCCAGGCTGCCAGCTCAAAATCAGATCAGAACCAGCATCACTGGGTCCCTTTGAAATGGGGACAATTTCTATTATTATTACTATTTCCTGACATTTATTGGATGCTTACTATATGCTAGACTCTGTTCTAGTTTCTTTATTTGTACAAAGTCATTTCTTTCTCCCATCTACTCTGTAAGAAAGGAGTTCATTGTTTTTAATGCTGTCATAAGATGGTGCCGCACTGTGTTTGAACTTCAAGGTTGGTAGTTCAAGCTCACCAGCTGATCCTCGGAAACCCTATACAGGATTGATATGAGGTGGAACTGACTCAACGGCACTTAACAACAAGAAGATGGGGAAAAGGAGCTCTGGTAAGGTAGTGTGGATTACGAGCTGGATTGCTAACCGCAAGGTTAGCAGTTAGAATCTACCAGTCACGACAAGCGAGAAAGATGAGACTTTCTGTTCCCATAAAGATTTACATTCACAAAACAATATACAGAGTTGCTATGAGTCGGAACCGACTCGAGGGCACACACCACCTATCAGCAACTGGGGGAAATGAGACTTTTGATGGATGTTAAGATCAAAGGGGGGCATGCAGTGTCTCTGTAGGATAAGCACTGGACTGCTAGCCACAGGTTGGTGGTTCAAGCCCACCAGCCACTCCACAGGAGAAAGATGAAGCTTTTTGCTTCTATAAAGATTGACAGCCTCAGGAAAACCTACACAGGATCGCTATGAACTGGAAGTTACTTGATGGCACTTAACAGTGACAACAAAAAAATCAAAGATAGGTGCCCCTGTCTATATGTGTAGCTGTGTGTGGCTGTGTCCCTGGGCTGGGCAGAGGGAGACTCTTCCTTTAAAACCTGTGTGATCTTGAGCAACCACACCGCATTTGCTCACCCATGAAAGAAAGGGAGTCTGAGTATTAACATGCCAACTCCCTCAGCCTCTGTTCATTTTTTTTTTTTTTTTTCTCATCTTCTGTCTGAAACCCACTGCCACAGAATCTATTCCAACTTAGGATGACCCTATAGGACAGAATAGAACAGTTGCTTCTGATTTCCAAGACTAGAAGTCTTTATAGGAACAGACAGCCTTATCTTTCTCTTGCGGAGCAGTGGGTGGGTTTGAACCACCAACATTTCGGTTAATAGTCCAGCACTTTAGTTACTGCCCCACCAGTGCTCCTTCAGCCTCTGTCTAGGCTGTTCTTATGAAACGCATTTCTAGGAGTGCAGTTCTAGACTCCACCCACCATTTGGATCCAAGGTGATCTCTTTCTCTTTCTCTCTCTCATACACACACACATACAGTATCTGGACACAGAGAAGAAAGCTGCATAAAGTTCCCCAGGCCCTCAACCCCTTCTTTCACAGCCCCTCCAATGTGAAGACCTGGCTGGGGAAAGGGCGATCCCTTTATTTTAGAAGCCAGGGCCAGAGAAGGTCCTGACTCAGTGGAAGTAAGTGGGCTCCTCACTCTAGGACAGCAGCTACGCTGAGTCTTCCCCATCCCCAATTCCCTTTAGCCCTTATCTCACCAGATCCCCACCCCTGGGCTCCAGGCCCAGAAAGTACAATCCACCATCCAAAGCAGGCTCCACTGACTCCCTCCCACCTTATTCACACACAGTGCTGGACCCGGGACCTCCCACCTCACTGTCCTACACACACACAGTGATGGCCGGGAGGCTTCCCACCATGCTGACAGCCTCTCCCCAACACACACAACAATGCTTTCTGGACCTGTTGTCACATGGATCACCCCACACTCTACACACCCCCAGTGTGCATTGCTGGATCTTGGCTTATCTCCCTTTGCTAGCTAAACTTATCTCCAGTCAAAACTGTTCCTTAGGAGCAGGGACAAAATCCCCCCTTCCCAGACCTATACAGAGATTGCCCAGGATTCCCATTCCCCACCCACCCCCAGTCACAAGACCCCACCACCATCCCACCCCCAGGGATCTAACGGCGGCCCAAGGCCTGATGGCAGCAAGGAAAACCAAACTCTTGCCCCATTCCTAGAGTCCTGATGTGACACTGTGGGATAATGCAATGCACCATAAGGTCAGCAGTTCAAATTTGCCAGCCGCTCCTTGGAAACCCTACACAGGGTTGTTATGAGTTGGAGTCGACTCAACAGTACTTAACAACAACCCCAGTCATGGCTCTTGTGGGGCCAGGGTGCATGCTCAACCCCACCAGAAATTCTCTTAACAGCGTGAAAGTAAACCCATGTAGACAGTAGTTGAGGGTGAGTACTTTGTTCTCTACCACTCACTGATGTAGCACCCTGACCCACTCCCGTTCCTGGGTTAGAACCCCATTCAGCCTTTCCATATCTTCTCTTATCTCACTTATTTGTCCTGGTACTCAACAGACATGAGTCTATATCCTGGTCCTATAAATGATTTGCTGTGCAATATATAAGAAGTCACATAACTTCTCTGAACCTCAGTTTGCTGTTGGTGTTGTGAAGTGCCGTCGAATTGGTTCTGAC